GGCAGGCCCCCAAGCCAGAGCGAAGGCGTTTGCTCATGGCCGGCCTGGGCCTGCGGGATCAAAAAATCGGAGGCCTCGTAAACCGGCCCCTTATTACAGGGGCACTCCCAAATTCGGTGGAGCAACGTCTCGGGAGCGCTCCCGCACCGAGTGCACAACGGCGAGGCGTTGTAACCCGCCTCGATCTGGCGCTGCTGCGGCCACTGCCCCCCCGAGATTGCAGTGACCAACTGGCCGACCTCATCGTACGAGCCTGAGCGGATCGCTCGCGCGAGCTCGAGACGGACGTGGACGACATCGGCCCCTCCGGCTAAAGACTCGCCGAATGGGTGAGAAGCAGCCGCGGCCCAGAGCGACGCGGTGAGATCCTCGCGGAGGTCCTCAAGCAACTCCGAGAAATCAAAAACATCATCGGGCCTCCTCTCCCCGGGGGGCGGGTCTGGGAATTGCCAACACTCCCAAGCATCGCCTACAGGCCTCCTCCACTCCGTGGCGGTGACGGGCTGCCAACCCAAGTCTAAGAGGGTCGCCTGGACGGCGCCGATGGGTCCTCGAACGCGCCTCAACCTTTGATTTGGGATGTGACCAAGGAGGAGGAGGAGGAGGAGGAGGAGGAGGAGGAGGAGGAGGGGGAGACGGAGAAACAACACTCATCACGGTTCCGGGTTGCGCACAGATAGCCCCCCCAGGCAGTCCTGGCTGCCCTAAGCAGGCCCCCCGTGTAGGCCGGAGTGGTCTCATCTCCCGGTCGCCGCCTCGAGCGGCGACGACATGGGGCGCTCCGCGACCCAAGGTTCGGATGTTAAGACCGCCCCGGACTGCCCGGGGGGCCTGTTTTGATGCCAGCCGGGGCTACCCGGTGGCGCTGCCTGTGGGCAACCCCGAAGCCTTCCCAGGCCTACATCGGGGGTGGTTCGAACCTTCTTCAGCAAATCACACCATTGTGAAGACAACTCAGGAGGGGAAAATACACACAGACACACATAATCGGCGACTCCCAGGAAAAGATATGACATATGGGCAATTGAAGGGGGGGCGAAAATCCAAAACATTTTTTTCAAATAAGAATACATAAATAATAATCCTGGGATGTGTGTCTATTTACTCGTATGCCCCTGGACCCCTTGAACAACCTGGGCACCAAACCCTGTTGGTGCAAACCTGCAGAGTGGCGGCTGCAACGCCCTCTCGAGAGAAAGCCTGGAGGGACCCCACAGCCAGATTCGCGGATCGACTTGGAAGGGTAGGGGCTTCATATCTTATCCATTTGTGGCGGTGACGGACGTCATGGGGGGGGCGGGAGGGGGGGCGGGGGGAGGGCATAACGCAAAGATCCCTTCCACCTGGTGCCAGGCGCACTACGGCAAAGCTGGGGAGGCGCTGGGGAGGGGAGCGGTACGTTTCGGAGGGGGAGGGAGGGAAAGAGGAGGGGAATAACGCGCGATATGGCCCAGAGGCCGAACGACCCGAGACGTACCCCAGCCCGTCTCCACGCGAGGAAACTATATATATAACTATATATATATATATATAAAACTGAACGCCCCAAACACAGTTTACATGAATTGTCCCATCGACGGTTGCGCAGCCCGCAGCCCCCGACGGAGCCGCGAGGTCTTTAAGGGGTCCGCGTGGCCCTGCACCCCGCCCTGCCTCATAGGAGCGCGCGACAATGGTGGCGGTTGCGCAGTTCGCAGCCCCCGACGGAGCCGCGAGGTCGCCAAGAGGTCCGCGTGGCCCTGCACTCCGCCGTGCCTCCCAGGAGCGCACGACAATGGCGGCGGTTGCGCAAATCGCAGCCCCCGATGGAGCCGCGTGGTCTCCAAGGGGTCCGCGTGGCCCTGCACTTCGCCGTGCCTCCCAAGTGCCCACCACGACAATGGCGGCGGTTACGCAAGTCGCAGCCCCCGATGGAGCCGCGAGGTCTCCAAGGGGTCCATGTGGCCCTGCACTTCGCCGTGCCTCCCAAGTGCCCACCACGACAGTGGCGACGGTTGCGCAAGTCGCAGCCCCCGATGGAGCCGCGAGGTCTCCAAGGGGTCCGCGAGACGCTGCACTCCGCCGTGCCTCCCAGGATCGCACGACAGTGACGACGGCTGCGCAGTTCGCAGCCCCCAGTAGGAAAGGCACGAGCAAGGGAGGCAAGGAGGCAAGAGGCAGGCAGAGAGGGAAGGATGAGGAGGAGGAGGAGCAGGAGGAGGAGGAGGAGGTGGAGGAGGAGGAGGAGGAGCAGGAGGAGGAGAGAAGAGGCGGGAGGAGAGACGCGCAAGCAGTGCCCTATGCGAAACGAGAACCCAACGAAGGGAGGGTTGGGACAAACAAACTCTCTCCATCAACCCCCGACAAGCAGAATGTCCAGAACCCTCTGCACCTCTGGCCCTGCGCCGGCAACGCTTGTGCTGGCCGACCGTGTTCTCGCTGGGGGAGGGGCTCTGGCAAGAGCCCTTGAACATGGGCGGTATTAGGGGATGGTGGCCGGATGATGCGCCACAACACAGATAGTCTTCTCGTATGTAGATCACTTGGGCTTCCAGCTCCAGCTTGAAGGCGAGCAATCCAGCACGCCTGCTTCCAAGCTCAGCGCGCAACAGATCGGGTGTTGCTAGCAGTACCCCTGGCGCAAGGTACGGTACCCCCAGCATGCTCGGGGTGGCCCAGGTGGCCTCCAGGGCACCCCTCACGAGGCTCCAAAATGGAGCGGAAAGCTGGGGGTACCTTGGGCCAGGGGCACTTCTAGCAACACCCGAACAGATGCAACGAGACACGGCCAGAGAGAGCGACCGTACCGAATGAGTCCGGACCTACGGCACGACAGCGCGCTCAGCAACAAATTGCGGCCTTCGCTGCTGCCAGAATCGTGTAATGAAATGTGGGAGTGGTGGGAGCGCTCCCTCGTGCATCATACTCTGCCTTCAGTTTGTGGTATACGTATGTCAAGCGCCGCAAGCTGAAGGCAGAACTTTCGGAACCAACAACTACAACAGGCAAGGCGAGGAACAAACTACAAACAACTACAACAGCAACAACAGCAACAACAACAACAACACCACTTACTACTACTGTTGCTGCTACTACTACTACTACTACTGCTACGACTACTACTACTACTACTACTACTACTACTGCTACTACTACTACTACTACTACTACTACTACTACTACTACTACTACTACTACTACTACGACCACTATCTACTGCTGCGACTCCAGCTACTACTACTACTACTACTACTACTACTACTACTACTACTACTACTACTACTACTACTACTACTACTACTACTACTACTACTACTACTATGGACTGAGGACTCCGAGGCGATGCGGAGGACCAAACAACTGCATGAACATGTTTCGGAGGTCCGCGCAACTGTTTGGGGATCTCGGCGCTGGGCCCCTCCCTGGCTGGCGCGCAGGGGGCGAGCCAGGGGCGGCGCCGCCAAGGGCGCCCAGCGCAGATCCAAGAGATCCGCGCAGGCCGCAAACAGTTCATCTTCATGCAGTTCTTCTGCAACTCAAACTGGGCATTTTCTTGGGGTGGAGGGCTCAGGGTGAAATCCATATGGGCTTTTGCACCTCGAAAATCAGTCCGTCTTGTGATTCACCTTTTGCAGATTCAAGCCTCGAAAACCTATTGAAACGGCATCCCAGATTTCACCCTGTGCCCTCCACCCAAAGAAGATGCTCGGTCAAAACAAGGGGAAAACGAGGAGAGGAGCGCAGACGAGCAAAGCACGGCACAAGCAACCACCGTCGGAGGCCCGCACGCACTCCTGCCGTTGACAGGCCCGAGCTGGAATACCTTCGCGACGTCGCATCGAACGCGTAAACGCATAGGGGTCGCCAGAGAATGGGCCCCGACCCGAAGCGGAGTCGGAACAGCGCGCCCAGCTCAGGCAGGCGCTGGCCGACGCTGGCGGAGTGAACCGATCCGAATGTTATGTTGCTCCTATCGTACTCCAGGGCCACATGCCAGAAATAGTTTCTCGGGCACCCTGACAGGTATCGAAACAGTGTGGAACGAGTATCGCCCCCCAGGGCCAGATGCGCGAAAACCATCCGGTTTCGGTTACCTTCATGGTGCTCGAAATCTCTTCTGGGGCTCCAGGCCAAAAAGTAGGTTGGAACCTCACGGCGGCGCGGCCGAGGAGCAGGGAGCAGAGGGGGCGAGAGGGGAGGAGGGGGGAGGACGGGGAGAGGGGGGCCGAGGACGAGGAGCAGGGAGCAGGAGGCGAGGGGGGGGGCCGAGGACGAGGGGGCGGAGGCAGGGGGCGGGAAGGGGGGGGGGGCAGAGGAGGGGAAGAAGGGTGGGGGGTGGGGGGGGGGGCGGCGGGCGAGGACGGAGAGGGCGGAGGTGCCGCGGGGGAAGCGGGCGCGAGGTCGGGCGGGCCCCGGCGGAAGCCTCCCCCGGCGAGGCGCGGGCGCCCGGCCCCGCGAGCGGAGCCGGGCCGCGTGTCTCAGCGTGGGCAGCCCCGCGAAGGGCGCGGGCGCCCGCGGCGGGGCGGACCGCTGGGGGGGGCCATCGCTCGGACATCCACTCCCTGTGCTTTTTGTCGGTTTTGTGCGTGGCTTCTTCGCCAAATGATCAGGGATGCTCCTCGATGGTCCTCGCCGAAGGAGAAATGCACACGTCCGAGCGATGCCAAGATTGGGGGGGGGAGGCTTTCGCGGCCCTCGCAAGGATGCGGCGGCTGTCGCGCGCGGAGGGCGCAGCCGGCACGAGCCGCGCCTTCGCCACGGACTCCACGAGAGTGCCGTCGGGCCCAGGCCGGAGGAAGGTCCCTCGAGAACACGAGACCCTCCGCCGGCCAAAACACACAGAACCTCCGAGGGCGCCCCCCAAGGGTGCACAAAAATATCCAACGAGCACGAAGAGCATGAGGGTACCCTCCACGAACCGGCCTCGATCTTACACCTCGGTCCGACGGTAGACGAACGCACCTCGTCCAAACTCCCACCTAAATTCACCTGAGGCGACCCCCCCTGGGGGAGGCCAAATCCTCGCCACGGCGCTGAGCAGCCCGTCGCCCGCCCAGCCTGCCCGCGGGCCGCGCCTGCAGCAGGCGCTCGGCGCCGGCGGAGCCAACGATCGCACACGACGCTGGCCCCGCTGATCCGAGCGTTACAACACAAACATTATCCTCTTGCTCCTCTTCCTCCTCCTCCTCCTCCTCCTTCTGCTGCTCGTCGTCGTCCTCCTCCTCCTCCTCCTCATCGGACCCGTCCGCCACACTCGCAGCGGGATGCTGTTGAACACTGAGTGTTGCGTAGGAGACGGAGGCTGCTGAATACGGGGCGTTGTGTTGGAGACTGATGGTGTTGAACACTGGGTGTTGCATTCTATGCAGAAACACGGCGGGCGGGCGACGGGCGGTCGGCGGGGGGCGGGCTGCGGCTGGCGGGCTGGCGGCGGGCGGGCGGGTCGGGATTCCAACAGAACTCCTATGTATTCGTTCTTGCAGCGGGATGCTGTTGAACACTGGGTGTTGCGTTGGAGACGGAGGCTGTTTAGTACCAGGTGTTGTGTTGGGGACGCCTGCTGTTGAGCATTGGGTTTTGTATTGCGTGCGTAAGCACAGAAGCACGGCGGGCGAGCGGCGGGCGGCGTGCAGCGGGCCGGCAGCGGACGGGAGGATCGGGAGTTCAATAGAACTTCTAAGGATTCTCCCTTGCAGCGGGATGCTGTTGGACACTGGGTGTTGCGTTGAAGACAAAGACTGTTGAGTACCAGGTGTTGTGTTGGAGACGGAGGCTGTTGAGTGCTGGGTGTTGTTTTGAACACGGAAGCACGGCGGGCGGGCGGCGGGCGGGCGGATCGGGATCTCAAAAAAGAACTCCTAAGAATTCTCTCTGGCAGCAGGAAGCTGTTGAACACTGGGTGTTGTGTTGGAGACGGAGGCTGTTGAGTACCAGGTTTTGTGTTGGAGACGGAGGCTGTTAGGTACTGGGTGTTGTGTTGAACGCAAGATTTGGCGAACATTTCAACAAACAAATAACGGGGGATCTGACGACCCCGATCCCCGACGTGGGGGGGATTCCGACTGGACCAGAAATTTGGGGTCCAACCATGGGATATGCAATGGGCGGGGGCGTCAACCCTGGATAGCGGTGCGTACGAACAGCCCCCTGGGGCGGTATCCCAGAGTTCCCCCACTTTTCTTTTGAACGGCTAACAATCTTCGATTGGAGATCGCGGATTGAGGGAGAAAAATCGCCTGAACGAAGAGCGAGAGAGAGAGAGAGAGAAAAGGAGAGAACAACGATCACGCCGCCGAACCGTCGGGGCTGCAAGCCGCTCTGCAGAGGTCAAGGGCGGGCTCCCACGCGTGAGGGGCGACCCGTGCTATGAGGCAAACGGCGTTGCGAACCCCTATTCCACGGCAGCCTGGAACACACTGACCACATGCCCCTGAGGCCAACGCGCAGGAGGCGCTTCATCTTGGGCTCAAGATTCGGGGACATGTTGGCGCCACCCTCAAAAAAGCCCAGCAATGTTGTTCACGGTCGTTGTGCCCAAATCAAGATACCACGATGTTGGGACGTCGGTTGACTCCCAGATGTTACTGATCCGACAACCTACTAATCCTTAAGCGGGCCGGTGTTACACGAACCCTGGTCGAAGTCTTGCGACGAGCGTTGCACGTCGTGCTCACAATTGAATGGGGGGGGCCCGGAGACGGCGAATACGTGACTTGACATGCTCGCTGTAGGCCTTTGGCCTCTGCGGCCGTAACAAAATTGATGCTGAATGCATTGTTCAAGCTATGAACCACAATACTGTCGAGCACAACCATACGAACGGGGGCGGGGAGCAACTGTTGAAATACAAAGCTGCGTCATGACATGACCAAGCATCGGCTCCGTAAAACCTCCAATCCGAACTCCGCAAGTGCCAAGTCCATCAGCAATGAAACTGCTCACGGGGCCCGTCGCTATATGCTGGCTCCCATTGCTGCTCACACCGAAGTGGATCTGTTGTGTGCTGCCGAGCTTGGAGTGGACCCTGCAATTGAAAAGGGGTCCTGCTGGAAGATCATGAAGTGGCTGCAACTGTGAAACGTGCAGTCAGCTCGGTTTCTTTGGCGGCGTCGAAACTTTTTTAGGATATCAATTTCCAATTTTCCCATGCTCTCAATAAGAAAAGGCGCTTGTGAATAGACTGCCGCGTACCCTGAATCTCATATTTGCCTGCCAGATATGCCTCCGTGCGCGCGAGTACAGCTAGCTTGTCACCAGGAGGAGGAGGAGGAGGAGGAGGAGGAGGAGGAGGAGGAGGAGGAGAAGGAAGAGGGGGGGGGGAGGAGGAGGAGGAGGAGGAGGAGGAGGAGGAGGAGGAGGAGGAGGAGGAGGAGGAGGAGGAGGAGGAGGAGGACGAGGAGGAGGAGGAGGAGGCGGAGGGAGATTCTCCACAGACGCACTGCTCTGGGGTGGCTGGTCGCCATGTGTGCACCGCCGGTCGGCGTCCTCCGACAAGGCCGGATTCGTGGCAGAACCAAGCACGGCGAAAAGGACGAGGGAACCAAGTGTTTGGTCGGGCGGGTCGGGCTTGTGGACGACAAATAAAAAATATTCAAACAACGCTTAAAAATATGCAAGCATACTGAACAAGTTGTCCCCAGACTATTTGTTTAAAACTATTGTTTAATATTCTTCTGTAGAGGGACAGACCCGACTTGAAACAAGTGCCCGCTTGCGTACGACGCGCAAATCGCCTTCTGAAGGAGGCTGCCCGCCCAAAGTGGGGCCTGCTCCCACCGCGGGCAAAAATGGCCACGGACGACGGAGGAGGGGGAGGCGGAGGAGGAGGAGGAGGAGGAGGAGGAGGAGGAGGAGGAGGGGGAGGAGGAGGAGGAGGAGGAGGAGGAGGAGGAGGAGGTGGAGGAGGAGGGGGAGGCGGAGGAGGAGGAGGAGGAGGAGGAGGCGGAGGAGGAGGAGGCGGAGGAGGCGGAGGAGGAGGAGGAGGAGGAGGAGAAGGAGGAGGACCAGGCAGGAGGAGGAGGCGGAGGAGGAGGAGGAGGGGAAGCGTGGCAGCAAGGCGAGCACGATGACAAGTTATACTCCTCTGGGGAGGGTAGGGCCCGGCCCACACTCCGAACGCGAGCGGACATGGACGACGAGCCGGGCGAGAAGGAAGAGGAACGGGAGCACAACGGTGAGGCAGGAGGAGGGACACGAAGGCAGGATCTCCGGGCGAGCCCCGCCGTGGCGCCAGGCCCCCCCCCCCGAGGCGCCTTCGTGCGAGCTGCGCGCCCAGATGGGGTCGAAGCATGTGGGTCGCGCCGCATCGCCAACAACCGCCGACCAGCCATAACTGGGGGAGCTGTGGTCCTTACCCCCCTGGGGGAACCCATTGCATCGACGATCTCTCGAGAGGGGTGTCGAAATCGATGGGTCTCCCAGGGGGGTAAAGACCATAGCTCCCCCAGTTGTGGCTGGCCTGAAACGGCCCCATCAACTCTGACCCCGTATGAGATCCGGGTCCTCTGGGCGACCGCACGGCGGGAACCCCACCCCTGCAGGTCAGATTTCTGAAAAGCCGGCCGGGGCTCGAGGTTTGAGGAGAATCTCTGCAGCCAACGGAACCCGAGGGGGGTGTTCGTGAGTATCGTTTAACCGATCCCCATCCCCAGCGGCGTGGCCTGGGCCCCACTGGCCGATTCACCCCCCTAGATGGGGATACAGGCCGTATCCTTCGAGTTTCGAGGGGTGTTTCCCCAACTGGGGTGGTAATTTTGCGGGGGTCTCGAAGGGGATGGGGACGGGGATGGGGATTGGTTGAACGATACTGAGTTCGACACCCCAGCGTCGTTTGGACTCGGAGGGGTTGGGGTTCGCAAGTGGGTCCACGGTCGTCTGAGCCGCGCGCACGAGGTGGCCCTCCCGCGCCATCTGCGCACGCCGCGGCCGCCGACGCCATGGCGGCGGCAGGGGGCGCGGCAGGTCACGAGCGGCGAACGTGTCCACTCCCACGCCCTCGCGGCCTGGCTTCCGGGGCGCGTTGGAGGCTCCTTCCGGGGACCTCCTTCGAGCCACCCGCTCCGCTCGTGCGCGGAAGCTGCGTCGAGGGTCCGTCGATTCGGGTCGACCTCGAGCCGAACCTGAGTCGAACCTGAGTCGGCTTCGAGTCGAGCCTGAGTCGAACCTGAGTCGACCTCGAGTCGAACTTGAGTCGAGCTGGGGTGGCACTGGAATCGAACAGATCCGTCACGTGGGCCCCGAGAGGGTCCCCGGGGACGAGCACCGACGGCGCGATCCCGCGGATGCGCGGTCGCGTGGATGCGTTCCGCGCGGGGCCTCCGCGAAGGAAGTCTGCCCAGATCCACGGCGGGGCGGCCAGCGAGGCCGTTGTGGTGCACGTCGGTCGGAAGAAGTAGGACACACATGAAGCAGAACGGCGGATCGAGCCGATGGGGTTCAGGCCGTCCCAGAGAATAACAGAGAACGCATCAAAGCCACATCGACTCTGGAAGCAGGAAAGCGCTTGAGGTAGACTGGGATCTGTGCTGGGGTACCATGTGGGACCTGCTCTAGAAGAGCAGGAACGTACCGTAGACGGATCTGCCCTTTGCTCCGACCATGCACCGCGCCGAACCCAACGGCCACGTTGTCCATAGACGTATTCGCCCCGAAAGTGTGCGTAGACGTCGCGGCACCCGGTGTCCACAAACGCTTTCGGCTAGGACGTGAGAACGGTATTTGGCATCGGCCCCAGATGTTGGCCTTCTAGAAGCAGGTAGGCTTTGCCCTCCAAGATCTGCGTCCAGAAATGCCCCCCTTTAACGACCGACGAGCACGGACATGTTCGCCCGCACGCGAGCAGGGGGCAGCGCGGTGGCCGACGGACCTCGACGGCGAGCAGGCGGGCGGGCAGCGCCTGGCAGGAGGCCGCAGGAGCGCAGCCCCTGCCTGGCTGGGCTGGCGCCAGCCAGATGATGGAGCAGCATGATGCGGCAGGGGCACTTCCACAAGAAGCCTTCCACGAGAAATCCAAGTCTGAGACCCCAGGGCGTCCATTGATTTTTTGGTGTGGGAGCGTCGCGCTCTCCCCAGCACACCAATCGGAACCCAAGAAACCCAGGGCACTCTGGAGGCAAGCAGGGCTTTTTTGGCATGGGTCTCCACTGTATCGGGCTACACCATGGAAATATGATCAAGAAGCTTACCACTTAAAACAACCGGGGCCGGCGTCCCAGACATGCTTTAAGACAAGCCAGGGCCAAGTGCTCGTGTTTACGCTGAAAGGGCGAAGGCCCTCAAGAAACCGGGCCAGATATTCGGCAAGTTGGCAAGGAAACGCTGGCCCAACTTTTCGGGGAAAGGTTTCATCATCATGTGCTTGACCGTGGTGGAGAAGGGATCGGGCGCCGCGGCCTGTCCTGAGCGCTCTGGAAGGCTCTAGCACGATTCATCTCAGTCCTAGCCCAGACCGAAGAGCGCACCAGGTCACGGGTACGGGGGCACCCCTGCCCCAACATGCTAATTGGAGCGAGCGCCACCCCCCCCCCAACCGCCCCCCCCCCCTGTGCTGCGATGCTCCACCTTTCCCCCGTTTGAGTGTGGGGTGGTGCTGCGGTGCCGGCGGCGTCGTCGTCGTCGTCGTCGACACCGCCGTAATCATTGCCGTCGTCATCGTCCTATCGTCGTCGTCGTCGTCGTTGTCGTCGTCGTCGTCGTCTTCGTCGTCGTGGATGTGGTGGTGGTGGTAGTCGTTGTTCCCACCTCACTCCCCACTCCCATCCTGGGGTTGGGAGGGTGGGGGTGTCCCTGGGAACCATTCTATCGGGGGGTGGAGCGTGGGCCCTGAGCCTTGGATTATTCCTATTATTATTTCCCAACCCTCCTTGGTTGGGTATTCGTTTTGAATAGAGCAGTGTGGTCGCGTCCCTTCTCCCGCCTCCCGCCTTTTCCTGTCTTGCCTCTTCCTGTCTTGCCTGCGGGGGGCTGCGATATGTGAAACTGTCGCCACTTTCGAGGCCTGCTGGGGGGCCCAGCACAGTGAGGGCCACGGGCAGATTCAAATTAGACCTCGCCATCCCTGGGGGGCTGCGATCTGTGAAACTGTCGCCATTTTCGAGGCCTGCTGGGGGGCCCAGCACAGTGAGGGCCACGGGCTGATTCAAATTAGACCTCGCCATCCCTGGGGGGCTGCGATCTGTGAAACTGTCGCCATTTTCGAGGCCTGCTGGGGGGCCCAGCACAGTGAGGGCCACGGGCAGATTCAAATTAGACCTCGCCATCCCTGGGGGTTTCGAGGCCTGCTGGGGGGCCCAGCACAGTGAGGGCCACGGGCAGATTCAAATTAGACCTCGCCATCCCGGGGGGCTGCGATCTGTGAAACTGTCGCCATTTTCGAGGCCTGCTGGGGGGCCCAGCACAGTGAGGGCCACGGGCAGATTCAAATGAGACCTCGCCATCCCTGGGGGGCTGCGATCTGTGAAACTGTCGCCATTTTCGAGGCCTGCTGGGGGGCCCAGCACAGTGAGGGCACGGCGGATTCAAATTAGACCTCGCCATCCCTGGGGGGCTGCGATCTGTGAAACTGTCGCCATTTTCGAGCCTGCTGGGGGGCCCAGCACAGTGAGGGCCACGGGCGGATTCAAATTAGACCTCGCCATCCCTGGGGGGCTGCGATCTGTGAAACTGTCGCCACTTTCGAGGCCTGCTGGGGGGCCCAGCACAGTGACGCCACGGGCGGATTCAAATTAGACCTCGCCATCCCTGGGGGGCTGCGATCTGTGAAACCGTCGCCACTTTCGAGGCCTGCTGGGGGGCCCAGCACAGTGAGGGCCACGGGCAGATTCAAATGAGACCTCGCCGTCCCTGCGGGGCTGCGATCTGTGAACCTGTCGCCACTTCGAGGCCTGCTGTGATCCCCGTTTTCGAAGTGGCTAGGAGTGCTCAGGAATTGTAAACTCATCAGCTTTATCAAGCCCTTTTCCTGTAGCCAGTGTCCTGCGAGTCTCCCGAATTCCGTCTGCAGACATATGTAACCCTCGCTCCGTCATCGCCCCCTTCTAAAGCATCCTAAACTATTTGCGCCCCGCTTTTGCGCAGGGGTTGGGTACGTCGCCAGGGTAATTTTTTATTACCCGGAGACCCCCCCCCCCAACCCTTCCCCGGACCCCCCCCTAAACCGGATCCTTCCCCCAGGGACGCTCCGGACGCCCTTTCGGACGTTTCGGCGGCCCCCTGGACGCCCTTGGAAAAGGTTCGGTGGCCCTTCCAAGCCTCCCAGGGCACCTCGCTGGGCCTTGCGAGCCGACTGAAGGCGATTAGAGGGGTCGTCGAAGAGGCGCAAGAGAGACCCAAGACAGCGCAAGAGCGCTCCAAGAGGAACTTCGATGGTCTGAAGACGGCCCAAGAGGCCCCCAAGACACCCCAAGAGGCCGTTAAGAGAGCCCCGCAGAAGCCAAATTCGTCACATTCCCTCCGGAAATACATTTGTTGTGCATATCCGCTTTTTGGGTCTTCGCAGCGTCCAAGACGGCCCAATGGGCCCCCAATCTCGCCCCAAGACGGCCCGGGAGGCCCCCTAGAGGGGTTGAAGGCGGCCCAAGGGGGCCCCAAGACTGCCCCAGAGAGCCCCGACATTGCCCACAAGAAGCCCAAGATGCCCCCAGAAGGCTCCCAAGAGAGACCCACGAAAGCCATGGGATACCTCCAAGAACGCCACTGGAGGCCCGCAAGAGGGCCCTAGATGGCTTCAGAAGACCTCTGGAGGGCCCCAGCTCCCCAAGGCGGCCCAAGAAGCCCCCAGGACGGCCCAAGAGTGCCCCAGGACGGCACAAAAGAGCACCAACAACGACCAGACGGTGTTCTCCTACGAGATACATCAAGCTGACCCGACGATCTTGGTTCCACGTTTGAGGCTCGAGGTTTCAGTAGCTACCCGATCGAGAGAGACAGGCAATGGATCTAGATTCGAAATTCGACGATCGAAGATTTCCTGAGTGCCTGGAGCCCTCCAGGGATTCGGGAGGCGATCAAAAATCGATGTGTTCGGAGCTACTGTGACTTCTTCGGCGTGTCATGGGAAGCGATCAAAGGACCTTCGCGCGCGAACAAATCAGCATGATTTCCCAACTCCTGCGCACAAGCGTGCCAGCGCATCGTCCGAAAGTGGTGTCAGCAGGCACCCGGGATATTGAAAAGATGGGCGGGTCGCCCGTCCAGGCCTCGAGGTCCTCCCTGTTGAAGATAGCGATGATTTATTGCTTTGCCAGGGAAGCGTCCGGAACAAGGCGCATGGCGCGAAACGCCAATGCAGTCTTGTATATATATATATATATATGTATATATGTATCTGTAAATGTGTATATATATACATATATATATATATTGTATATATATATACATATATATATATATATATATATGTATATATAATCCTCTTCCTATAATTTTATAAGCCCAGGCGGGGGGGAAACCCGTCACCCCCCCCTAAAACCGGACCCCCGGGATCTGGAGCTTTGGGACCCTCCAGACGGGCCTCGAAGCGGCCCCCTGGGCCTCGCAAGGCGTTTTGCCAAGCCTTCGCAGCACACCCACGGCGATCAGTGGGGTCACCGGAGACGTCCCAGAGACCCCCAAGACAGCACAAGAGCGCTTCAAGAAGCCGTCATACCCCGAAAGATCGCTCCAAAACGTACCAAGAGGCCTCCAAGAGCACCCCCAAGAAGGCCCCTAAGAGGGGAAACCCATGGATTATATGTAGGTTTTTGGTGCATTAGGGGTTCTCCTCTTTTCGGCTTCCCGACGCTCCAAGACGGCGGTCTCCTAGGCGTCCGAAGCCGCCTGGGAGGCTCCAAAATCACCCCGCAACCATCCGAAAGGGATTCCAGGCAGTCCAAGAGAGCCCCAAAAAGGCACAACAGGAGTCCAAAATGGCCCTAAGAGAGCGCTATGGCGGCCCAAGATGGCCCCAAGACGCCCTCCGAAGCATTCCAAATCGTGACTGGGGCGTTCAGGGAGACCGCGGTTAGAGGCAGGTTGGCCTTAGGAAGCCCCAGAGGCCCCCAGAACACACCCAGGAGGCCTCCAGAAGGCTGTTAAAAAGCCTGAGAACTTTGGTGAGGCCCCCAGAGGCTCTCCAAGGAGGAGCCTCCGCAAAAAGAGCTGAGGAGGATGGGGAGAATGCGCAGGGTATGGCGAGAATGAGGAAAATAAACATGGAGGAAGGATAACGAACAACATTCGTATAACGGCGATGCCAGAAAACGCAGCAAGGAGTTATCGCTAATTTGTCGGCTTGACCTTCCTGCCATTTCCGCCTGCATACCAAACTTCAAGGACCAAGGTGCATGGCGCGAAGCGCCACTGCAGTCTTGTATGTATGTGTATATATACACACACACACATGCTGCTCCCTTCGGGTTTCGCGGGACCTATGCCCACCTTTGGGGGGGGGGGCTGGTGGGGCTTCGATTCCATGGCCCAGTCGGCACGGGGATCCGCCAGACGATGCCGAGCAAAGGTCCCTTGCTTGAACGGTCCGTCCTTGAGGCCATCGCCGCTGGGGAAACCAACAAGTACCGCTACCGCTACTCCACGGACCTCTCCTGGGGTGCGCTCTGAGAAGGCTTCCGACGCAAATCCAGCCGCGGCGATGAGGGCCTCCCAGGAGACCCAAACAGGCGACAACCGGGCGGGTGGCAATGAGGGGTGACCCAAGTGAGGGGGTGCAGAAGGGGGCCCTGATGTCTGGTCGGGCATGTCCCCCTACAGGCGGAGTTTCGACGAAAAATGAAACATAGCTTAGAAAATCCAGAACTATCAAAAATAGTAGAAACATCGTCCCCAAACTAT